TGGATGAGTATAATAAGGCAACAAAAGCTAAACTATAAATTACATGCAATAGCTAAAATAAATTACCTAAGTATCTTTGTTCTATTATTAAGCTAATTCTTGTAAAAATATTCTTGAAGGGAATAAAAAGCTTTGCACAACAAGTAATCCTTTAATTGACGCTTAAAAACCTTGAACTCTTGAATACTTCTTATTTGAGAGGGCAAGTTATTATACAATCTTATTCCCATGTTAATCACACTCCTTTTACAACGTGAGGTGTTACATGGTTGGACATACAAATTCTGCTTATGTACTGTGTTATAACCGTGCACATCTGAATACGAGATGTTATATATCGTATTTTTCCTTAAAAAAACACGTCTCAAAGATATACAATGAAGTTAAGGTTAAAATTTTAAATTCACCAAAAAATTCTCTACACGATATCCTGTTATTGACTCTATACACTATGTTGTATAGAAGTATAACATCAGTTCAGAGCAGATTAGCCTCTGATGTACAGTCATGCTTGCTCAGCCACTATAGAGGAAGCAGTGAATATTTTTGTTCAGGTAGTAGTAGCTGATCCATGCTGTTTTACTGCATCTTTAGCGCTTCAGGGTTTCTGCATTCCTTGCAAGTCTCAAGATTAAGATCTCAGACAGTATATGTTTACGTATTTCCGTAGTATTTGTAAGAGCAGTCTTATGTGATTATTTCTGTTGATGCTATCACATATTGACTTTGAAATATCTTTCTTCTCATATGTACAGGACAAAGCAAGCAGGTTTGTAGCATTATGAATTTGACTTACGCGGTACCCACTTAAAATCTGGGCTAGACTACTGGATTCTCATTGAAGATTCTCAGTTTTCTAGAGATTCTGTGGGCAGATGCTAGAGAATTCCTTCATATAGATGATGGTCACTTTCTTTCGTACTCTTCATGAACATCTTCATATCTCATCTGTGGTAAGAAGGAAAAGGTAAAGAAAAAAGAGTAAAGCTATCCCTGTAACAGGCTGTGAAGGTCCATAGGGTTGTGAGATGTTGAGGCTCCCACATTATCTAGACAATTGGCTGACAGATGGCGGTAAGGTTGTCAGCCTTATGTGCTGGCCTATACCCCCCAGGAATATTCCAGGTACTAATTTTGTTAGAGGCTGAGTCAACCCCAGTGCAATAGTGTGACTGGAAGGATTAGGTAGATTGAAAAAATATCCACCTCACGTGGAGTCGAACTTGCAACTTTCCAGCTCGTAGCATAGTGCCTCAACCAACTACACTACTGTGTACCACTGTGTTAAGAGGAACTGGAACATTAATTGCATAAAATTGATTTCTTTAATGATGTGCAGATTGCTTTTGTTGTTACAACACCAGAAAAACTTATCAAAGTCATAAACACCGTGAGGTGTTTGATAGCAAGTGTTGTTGTTGTTGTTGTTGTAGATACTTCAGGTTGGGAGTCTGTTGCTAGTGATGAATCAGATTCAGATGAAGACAGTGACTCAGGTGGTGATGACCGTTCCTCGGACGGCGGTGCTGCAAACAGAATGCCTGCTGCCAGAATGACACAGCCCAAGCAGAAACATGATAACAACGGGGGCCACAAGAAAGCAGCTGCATGCAAAAAGGGGGGAGCACCCATGCCATATTCTTCAGCAGAATTAATCAGTTCTTTTAATGAAGTCATTAATGCTGGTAATTGTACATGCGCTTATACATTCAGATTGGTGTTTCCTGAATGGTGTTCTGTGGAACCCCAGAGTTCTGCAAAGCAAAAAGAAGGGCTGTGCAAGAAAATTCCTTTACAATATAAAAAAGTGATATGATACAGAAACAAACTAAATGTGGAATGTGGTCCCAGGATTGAGAATTGAAATTTTAAATATAAAACCAAACATAAAAATAGTTTATGAAGAAAAAGTAAAAACCACTCTTCATATTGCAAATTGCAAATATGTAGCGTATTACATTTTAAGCTTCATTTTTCATGTATATGACATGAGATATTTTCCCCTAAACGTGTATAATTAATTAAATATTTGTTGTCCAGTTTTAGCGACATATATAAGAAATTAATTATGGATTCTGTAAAATGTTTTTCAAGTGCAAAAGGCTTCCATGGCGCAATTAAATTGGAGAATATGGATTGTACATTTATTCCACAAAATAACATTGTATCATTGTGTTTAGCTTGCTTGTCCCTCTGTTTTCTTTCTCTGTCTTCATAATCCAAAATTTATGCTTGCTAATAGAACACAAGAGAATTTTTGACAAACAAAACAAACTCAGTGGCTTGAGTCCGCAGGCGAACTATACCGACCAAGCAACCGCCACTTGTCGGCAAAGTTAGTGCCAACTTTAGCGGATAGAGAGTGTCACGTGGTCAGTGTAACAAATCCCCATGGCCGATAATCTCGATTCTCTACACCAGAGACGCCATTTCCTTGAAATAGCTCCTCAATTATCCTCACAAAGCTGAGTGGACCCTGTTCCAGACCCACTACTTCTCAGAAAATCTAGTAGTGCCAGGAATCGAACCCAGGACCACAGGATCTGTAGCCAGTCACTTTGACCTCTAGACCACAGAGGTGAACAATTTTTTACATTTTAGAAAAACAAGAATTTTGGCAGCAAAAATATTTTCATTCATAGAGCGGATGTGAAACTTCAAAAAGCAGCGGTCACTAATATTTTTTGTAAGTTAATTCAGACACCAGAGATTACAACAATATGAAAATCTGGTCATTGTTCCTTCTCCCCCACTCTGATGCTATTTGAATGTCAACCATGTTCGTTTTACAGGCCTTCTTTTCTTGTGGAAATCTTTGAAAGGAAATAAATTTATATTTCAGTACTCAAGAGCAATGGCTCTGGTCTAGAAAACCGAAATTAAATGCCGTGGGGATTCGTTGCGCTGACCACGTGACACCCTCTGCCTGCTAAAGTTGGCACTAACTTCGCCGACAAGCCATGGTCACTCGGTCAGTATCGTTCACTTGCAGACTACAGGCCACGGAGTTTGTTTGTTTTATTATTTTTCAGAACTGTTCTGGTCATTATAAAACTCTATTCAGTGTTCTTGATAAATGTTTTTTTATTTCATTTTTTATCTTTCATCCTTGGCATGTTTCAGTCTGAGAGACCATCTTCAGAAGGACATAGCAATACACGCAGAAACTACCATTACAATGTGATTGGTCAACATCAATACATACATACAATATCGTTACAATTCCATGAGTGCCCTTCTGAAGATGGTCTCACAGATCGAAACATGCTAAGGATGAAAGATTAAAGAGGAAAAAAAAACATTTATCAATCACACTGGATGGAGTTGGTAACCTTTTATAATATTGCTAGTGTGACAGACCAGGATGAACCAAATCAAATGTTCTGGCCCTAACAGTGACAGATTAATAATAATTCATTGAAAATTATTGATCACTATAGCAGAGATGATAAGATACAATACAGTATTATATTGGAGCATCCTTGTGCACTTTTCACTTAGTGCCGATTAGTTACAGTCTCCCCTGCGACAGTATGTCCTATAAAATTTATTAACTTTAAAACTTTTGAAATTAATAAAATGACTAATCGACACTAAATTGCAAATAGAGCATTTGACTCACAGGGATGACAGCTGCTCTTCGTTGGGTATCATCATCATTGCAAGAGGTGGCTGATGACAGAGAAGCAGATGGTGAAGAGGAGATCATCCCTTTGGTTCCCATTACTGAGGAGGCTATGACTGCTATGGAAAATCCACAGTTCCTTAAACTTCTGACTGCCCTCAACATTGTCCCACCTTCAGATGAACAGGTGTGTTTCCAGGCAAAAATTTGTTATGAAGAAAGTTCGTAGAAGTATGTTTTCTTACCCTCATGAGCATTGTCTTGTGTAAATAAAAAGATATTCATAGGAAACTTTTTTTCTTTTCTTTTCAACTCTTCTTTTGATGGGTTTTGTTAAGACTAGCAGTGCGGACACATGCACATGCTTACGATTGGCCAAAAGAGGGTATGGCCAGTGTCCACCTCTGAAATTTTTGATAAAAAAGGAATTAAAGATCCTGTATATGAAATCTCCTTTCACTTTCTTCCTAAAGATCAGATTTATACAGTAATCTGAGGAACATCCTATATGAGAAAATTTGCCACTGGGATAATAGTATTACAACTACCAAATCGCATCGGGAAGTACAGTGAAACTTAATTCAAGGATATTTGTCTGTTGCCTTATTTACAGGAGATATATTGGCGTATTCCAGGCCATCTGAGCGTTCAAGATCTTAAGAAAAGGACTGAGATCATTAATCAAGCACTAGATGGGAGTTTGATAACACAACATAGTGGTAAGAACACAATTAATTGGCAGCTCTATACCACATATATAGAACAGACACCAACAAGGAGCAGATTGGTCTAGCGGTAACAGTAGACTTGAATTCAGAAGGTATGTAGTTCAGAAATAGGCCAGGACATCAGTTATTCTGAGTGAAATGTTTTGTAGTTTTCCTCAGTCCCTCCAGGTAAAATGCTAAGGTAGTATCTCGTTTAAACCACAACAGCTTCCTTCTATATTCTATCCAATTTGTCAGTTATTTATCATCCTTCCGTACTTGTATTGACAGTGTAAAATAACTCACAAAATTTTATACTGCGGAACACCATTGTGGCTGCCATTATAAACGGACTCAAGTAATACAGTAATTTGCATGTTAGGTGTTAGGAAGAGTATTTAAGGGAAGACAGCGGCAGAAATTGAATTCTCCACACAAGTTTTCTGACTTCTGAAATTTGGAATCTTTGTCATACTGGAAGGCAAAAGTAGCACGTCGTGAAGATATATACCCAATTTTCTGTCTGTCGCTCATATTGGCGTGTGTGTGTGGGGAGGGGGGGGTGGCAGAAGCTTCAACCCCAACCTTATGCAGGAGTGTTACTTATACAGCCACCATGTTTAGCAATATTACAAGAATTAAATGATATTTGTCATAATTTTTTTTAATGCTAGTGAGGCGGGACTAAGTCCCTTGTACTGCAGCTACTTCTGGCCTATTGTACCGGCTCCAGATGATAGGTGAGGGTGATTGTGGAGCAATTGATGGAATGAAGACTGGCAGGGGAAACCGAAGTACTCGGAGAAAACCTGCCCCAGCATCACTTTGTCCACCACAAATCTCACTTGACCAGACCCGGAATCAAACCTGGGCCACTGCGGTGGGAAGCCAGCAACTAACCCCTTGAGCTATGTATAAGCCAAGTATATTTGTCATAAAGAGGATGTGTCATTCTTCTTCCTTTGCTTTTTAGGTGAGGGGATAGATGGCAGTGCAGGAAGTAGACAAGATAATGACGCAGATGGAAACATAAACAGTTCTGAAGAAACAGAATTTTCAAGCAAACAAGCAGCTGAAACAAAGATACCAAAGGCAAAAAGGAATAAGAATAAAAATCCTGCACAGAAAATCAGGAAGCACCTGCAGCTTGATTCAGATTCTGAAACAGAAGAAATAAATCGTAATTCACTGGCTCAAACAGGTGAATCTTCAGAGAGTATCATCTCAGGTGAAAGTCCACAAAATAGAAGGAAAATTTTTACATTGGATTCTGAAAATAATGAAAAAAGCAGTAACTCCATGATGTGGAAAGTTGATCATCCCATTGCAGCAGGAAGTGGGATGGATGGTGATTTAAACAGAACTACAAAGAAGAAGCGCACACACTTCGTACTTGACTCTGATTCTGAAACAGAGGAAACAAGCCTTAGCTCATTGGTTCAGAATGTTTACATTCCTGACACAAAAAGTGTAACAGATGGCAGTTCAAATGGGACTACGAAGCATATTGTCACCAGTGTCGCGCTGAATTCCGATTCCGAAAATGAAGTCATCGGAGCCCGAGCTGAACCGACAAGGCGTGAGTACAAAAGAGTTCTTAGTGGCTCAGACTCAGACGGTGACATTTCACATTCCATCAAAAGGAGCAAGACCACATTTTCTGCTGATGAAGCTAATACAATGGACACAGAAAAAAGACATTCAGAAGAAGAAACAGATGGTAGCATTAATATGCAGAAACATAAACGTAGAATTATTTTGAGTGACGATGAAGAAGATGTTTTGTTAATTGAATCACTATAACAAGGTGCCATTTTGACAGAATTGCATTGACCTGTATCATTCATTAATAGGGTGTTTTCATCCCCCATGGTAAAGATGTTTGTATTGAAAACATACCCTCTGTGCATGCTTCTTCAAGGACCATGTAATGCTCATCTGATAAAGGTTAACAAGAATCATACAGTGAATAATTTTTATGAACTGAGTATTAGCTTACATTCCTACATGTGTAGAAAGCATGCCCTTTAAATTAATTTATAATAAACTCATTAAAAGCACCATTCATATTCAGAGTAGGAGTGTTTCTTCCACTTGTTTCGTTTTATTATAATTCCTCACTCTCCGTCTATAAGCTATAGTGAACAAAAGCCAAATGTGTGATATTTGAGATGTTTAAAGCAGTAGAATATTTAGACTGTGCTCCTCTGGGTTATATGTCATAACACTGTGTAGTCAGGTTATTGACTGCTGCCTCCACATTCGGGATAGAAGTCCACTTGTACATGAACAGTGAAGATGATGTCTCCCTAATTAGGTCATTTGCATCCTCAAATAGCAGAAAGCTCTGTCTTAGTCCTCCTGGCAGAGATCATTTTATACAGCCTTCCTTCAAGAGCTGCCTTCGAGCCATATTTGATCATTGTCCCTATTAGGATGTATCATATACTCTGCTACTACTGACCATTTTTCCTATACAGGGTGTGTCCCTTTAGGAGGTTTAGCCCAAGTTTTATACAGTTCTCCAATTCCACACTTTTTCAGAACTTTAGCCTTGATTTAGTTGTATGTTCTTGTGGTGATTTCATAAGAATACAAGATGGAGTTCGTACTGCATTCACTTGTATCTCGCATTACTCCTGATAGGCATCTCATGATGGGTGTTGTGTTGGAAACGCTAATCGGCATCCTTACTGGAGCCACCCAGAAGATATACTTGCAATAGTACACTGAAGTTCAAGGGAAACACGTGCATCCTTCTAGCCATTGCAGGGCCAAACTAGTCAATTGGGCTTCATCCCGCATTGCCATGAACTGTGCATAAATCCGCATTACATGATCAGACATATCAAAGATAAAAGTCAATAGTGTTAGAATCTTTGCTTTTCATTCATTGTAACTGAAAGCAATAAATTAATTACATTTTCTAAAAGTGCCCAAACATAAGAAGGGCAATGAATCAACAGTTTCCTTATAATCCCTACTCCATTTTATTTCCCCAATAACTTTGAAAGTTTGGCTGTAGGATTTTGAGTCACTCTGTATGCCAAACATGATGTAGCTTTATATTCAATGCACGGGGCAAGAAGACAGGCATCAGCAGAGGCAGTATTATGTGTAGTTAAGCAGGTTATGTAGACCATAAGGGCAGGTGGACTGTCCCAGCAGTGACATGTAGTGAGAGGTCTATATAGCCAGTATAAATTGAACAAAGGCAGCAAGGTCAGGTAATCAGGCATATGTATAAGCAGTACTAAGGACATGTAGCCAAGTTCTTATCATCAGCACGTTTCATCCTCAAACATTAAGCCACCTTTCTCAAATTTATATATATATATATATATAAGCAGTACTAAGGACATGTAGCCAAGTTCTTATCATCAGCACGTTTCATCCTCAAACATTAAGCCACCTTTCTCAAATTTATATATATATATATGTATAAGCAGTACTAAGGACATGTAGCCAAGTTCTTATCATCAGCACGTTTCATCCTCAAACATTAAGCCACCTTTCTCAAATTTATATATATAAGTGTTTATATGCCCAATATAATGGACAGATGTCAACTGTAAAGCCAGTATGGAGAACATATACAGACATGCATCTGTATGCAAAATGTCGGGGGTTCATATATGGGCGTTGGTATAACCAATACTTAGCAGGGGTACTTAGGAACAGCCCTATGAAACTCCCATGTTATTGGTGGGCAGCGTGGCCACCATGACACCAGGGTGCAATGCTGCTGCCATCTCTACGCGTCCTTCATTAACTAAATTTAAAATGCCCGACAGGACCGAGAGCATCATCAGTAAGAAGGTATGCTAACATAGCAACTATTTTGAGTACCCCCCAATGCTTTGTTCGCTAGAATAGCAATAAATACTTTTACAACCAGTTCTCTTGTACTGCAGAGGTTTCCCCCCCAACCTATTTCCATTTTTGAGCTGTGTTCAGTATCACTATTCAAGGAGGATGAGGTTGGCAGGGCATGTAGCATGAATGGGGGAGGCGAGGAATGCATATAGGATATTGGTGGGAAAGCCAGAATGAAAGAGACTACTGGTAAGACCGAGGTGTAGGTGGGTGGACAATATTAAAATGTATCTTAGGAGATAGGATGGTATAGATTGGATTGATCTGGCTCAGGATAGGGACCAGTGGAGGGCTCTTGCGAACACAATAATGAACCTTCAGGTTCCATAAAAGGATGGAAAATTCTTGAGTGGCTGCACAATTTGGAGGTTCTCAAGAAGGGCTCAGCTATATAAGTAAGTTCAATATCACTTCACCCATATCCTTTGGGCTGGATTTCAGTGAAGTGCTATTAAACTTGGTCCTCCACCCTTTCCAAAAAAATAACACTGGAATAAGAGCCTCTGCAGCTCTGGAGTACAAGAGATTAGGTTGCAAATTATTTATCTGGAGAAAGTTTCTCACCTGTGCCTGGAAAGCCGTAACCTTTCTTTCACACGAAACACCTCTTTAACCAAAGGCACTGAACTTTGTGAACTGTGACATACATGGAATACTTGTATTTAGGAAAGCTGAAGGTGGGGAAACTTGAAAGAAAGTTCTGTTTCCATCAGAGATACATATATTAAACTCCATAATTTCCTCATAACTTACACTTGAAAACCATACAGATCACAGTTTTTCGGTTTCATTTAAGCATTATAAATCATGTATTGTAAGCAACAATACTCATGTTCCCATTTATTATTATTTTCATTAGAATTATGGAACTGAGAATGTGAAATACACTCTTGTCAACAAGATTAAGACTGCATTTAATTATATAAGAAAATCTACTATATTCATCTTTACCAGTTCAGTACTGGGCAGAATAATAACATATCTTAAAGAAATATAACGAATACTGAAAATCTGGTATCTATTCATATTCCAGTTCAGTATTGGATACAATTATATAGCAAAAATTAATAATACAATTATATCTTAAAGAAATGCAATTACTAATGAAAATCTTATGTTCATGTTCACCATTTCAGTAAAGGTAGCATTATATGGCAAAAGTAAGAGACGGAATACACCTATAACAACGAAAGTGAATAACAATGTGGATGTGGGTTCGGTTCCACGCTTCCATAAACTTCATCCGCATTACCTCCTGCCCTACCCTATAAAATGAATTCTTCAGAAGAACGATTTGCACAGCCCAATAACTACTTTTCATGGCTCTCCATCAGGGTTTACTCCACAGATGGCGCTACAGTTATTTTATATTTTCTTGTTAACTCTCGCTGAATTAGCTTGGTCTCAAGTGAATAACTTAAAGTCACCCCTAAGGGCGGAGGTGGGCCGATTTTTTTTTTTTGATTGAAAGCCTATACCCACTTAGGCGAGTGTTTTAATGAGCGGCCGCAAAAATCTTCCCTCACCCCGGTCACTCCCTCTTCACTTCTTCCTCTGTTGTTGGCTTTCTTCACTAATTTCTTCTATTCCTTTTTATTTCCACAAAAATCCTACTGGTTTTGAACCAGGGACCTTCTGAACACTAAGCTGATATCTTACCCCTGGACCTCCAGCTCCACAGAAATTTATTTTCTTTAATCTTCCTCTTAAGGTACATCTTCGGTTATAATTCCAGAAAAATCAATTAACTTACTTTCTAAATCACAAAACTACTTTGTCTCGAACCTTCGAAATCGTCTTTACTACGCCGGTGTCTTACCATTAGACCACCCGTGCCACGGAGATTTCCCATCTTTAATCTTCCTCCTATGTTACATCTGTTGTAATTGCAGAAAAATCTTATTAACTCAATTTTATTTTATAAAACTTTCGGTGGTTCCGTACCTCGGAACGTCTACACACTACGCCGGTATTTTACCGATAGGCCACCAATGCCACGGAAATTCTTGACCTTCAACCTTCCTCTTATGTTACATGTCGCTATATAATTCCACAAAAATCTCATTACAAAAAATCCTTGTGGTTTCGAACCACGGACCTTTCATTTACAACGCCGGTGCCGTACCTCTAGACCACCTACAACCTTCTGCGATCGTCCTTATATTATACGAGTTGGTTTATAGCTGCAGAAAAATATTCATTTATTCACTTTTCAATTTCTATCAACAAAAGACACCGTTGTCTCGAACCCCGAACCCTCCCAATACTTCGCAAATGTCTTACCCACGTACCACCAGATCTATACAATTTTGTTATCTTCGCCTTCCTCATATATTAAGACTTGCTTCCTACATGCACAAATTTCTTACATTCTCTTTTTTTCCCACAAAAACAGTCATATCTTCGAAACACGTACCTTCTAAACCATACACCAATGCCTTACCAAAGGACCGCCACGGTTATGACAACTATTTGCATTCGTCTTCCACATATCCTACCGCTTCGTTTCTACTTTTACAAAATTTCTTTCACTTCGTGCTTCGTTTCAAAGTCATTTTACGACTAACGGTTGGCCAGTCACTTTCTCTTAAGTTAGAGCTCATTCAGACGCTCATGTTCTGATCTTAGTCTTGAATTATTCGTAAGCTTCACTGTTTGGCCTCTAAAAGGCGCGTCCGCATTACTCGTGCTAGTAAATCTTCATCCACACTACTTCAGTTGCTCGCCAGGCTTCGGCGCGTGAGGATCCGTATATTTACTCGTGTGTATAGGCTGTAGTCGTATTTTAATTTATTGGCTATAGTTTTTAAATTAAAAACTTGCTTGTCTAGTGACTTGTCATATCGTCCACATTATTCGCGAGTCACAAGAGCACGAGGACGAGTAATGTGGACGCGCCTTAATACGAATCCTTTTTGATGACAAAACGGGTCTATCCCTTCTCACTTGTCACAGTCAATTACATGAGACCAAGCTAATTCAGCGAGTTAACAAGAAAAATGAAAAAATCTGTAGCGGCATCTGTGGACTAAACCTCATTGAAAGCCATAAAGTGTAGTAAAAAATATAGCATCTTAGTTTCTTTTTACCTAACTTATTGGGCTGTGAAAGCCGCCCCTCTGAAGAATTCATTTTATAGGGTAGGGCAGACGGTACTAGGGATGAGATTATTGGAAGCGTGGAAATCAACCCTACGCATCCTTGGTATCGTGCAAATATTTAATCCCTTGAGACCAAGTTAATTCAGCGATAGTTAATAAGAAAATATTAAATAAAATTGTAGCGCCATCTGTGGGGTATGGAAGCATGGGGAACCTGAACACTCGAGACTAAAACCTCATGGAATGTCACGAAGTGTAGTTAAAAATGTAGCATCATAGTTTCTTATTGTCTTCCTTAATGGGCTTTTCTAACCGCTCCTCTGA